GAGCCAATATAAAATAAATGACAAGCTAAACCTAAGTCTAATTTCATTCTCAATTTGAGAAGATTTCCACTTTTTATCCCATAATCATTGACTTAAGCATCGGAGGGTTATCGGGACGGTCATGTCTCCGTGCCTTCTAACAACTTGTTCAGTGATTTACACGAGAAACACCACAAACAAAATTAATATCAAAGGAGAAGGATGGAGTCGCATGTTCTTCGTAGGTTCATACTCTCTAGAGATTGAAAACTTTGCCTAGAACAAGAGTAAATTTCACATCAGCCCCTTAACTTTTGGCATTTTTTGCCAATTTCGGAATAACAACAAAAACTATTAAAAATGGCACACAACGCCAATACAGTTTTGTCAGATAACCCTCAGACCTAACGGCGTCGTCTTTAACGTCCCGCGTCATTGCGATGGATGCGTCATCTTTAACGTCCCGCATCATTGCAATGGATGTGCCCCCTTTAGCGTCCCACGTCATTGCGATGGATGCGGCGTCATCTTTAACGTTCCGCAACACTGCGACAGATGATACTGTTGGAGAGAGCCAAAGTAGTCTATTTTTCAAGAAATTTGATCCGATATATTCAGGGATCATGCTCTCTGGAACTCCGCCATGAACCATCTTACCCGTCTTCAACTCAAATTTCATCCACGGACTCCAATTCCGTTTCCAAAACCGACCAAACAGAGACCCAGGAAAATATACGCAATCCTCCTCCTGACCATCTGCTACTTCCATCGAAACCGAGCAGTTTTTACTTAGAAACAGCACTCGGCCACCGAGACTTCCACCATCTGCTACTTCCATCGAAACCGAGCAGTTTTTACTTAGAAACAGCACTCGGCCACCGAGACTTCCGACTCTCGACCAAATCTTGGAACGAAAATCGGGTGTGAACACTCTTATTATTGTTGTGCCCGTCGACGCTACAGCGTCAACCAATATTAAGTCCCCGTCAGACTCGGCCAAGATTTCCCACGCAACCTCATCATCACTCCTCGGGTACCTTCTCATACCATAAACGCTGGTATTAGTAGGAGGAGGCAGGCATGGATCAACAGCTAATACCCTTCCGCCTGAATGTCTGCAGTAGAAGCGTCCTTTGCAGAAGACGATCGAGGTTATCCACCACCAATCTGGCAATTCCTTTAAATAGGTCCACCGCCCAGGGTGGGTTGCTCGCCACAAGAAGGCCGAACTGGTGCCGGCGACAATCACACAACAAGAAGGATCGTCAGGAGGGGAGGACACGCATCCGGAGAACAAGTAGCGGGAAGTATAGAGATCGGTGAGTTTTATTTGGATGCCAGAGACAGGATTCGCCAAGGTGAGGGCCGCGTAGTCACGGTGCGAGTCAAGGAGGAGAAGCCAACCGTGGGAGGAACATAAACAGCGAAGGCCAGCAATCGGAAAAGAGAGATGGAACCTGTAGAATCTTTGCTCGAAAGGGCTGTAACATGCCATCGTAGCTTCTTGTTGTTCTTGTTGAGGGGGGATGAGGAGAGGGAGACGGAGCAGCCGAGGAAGAGGAGGAACGTGACCGTGATATTGGTCTCTCTGTATCGATAGCCATGCTCGACACACGGCCCCGAAACGGACTTGGTCGGAGATCGGAAGGCGGTCGAGTATCGTCCCTGCTACATCACTCGGGAGATCCTGCCAACCCATATTGATTTTTTCACTTTTTATTCGAGATTTCACTTGTACCACATCAGAACCAAGTTTTTTTTTTATTGACAATGTATCATTTTCCTTGGAAGCGTACGATTTCATAACCTTGTAGAGGTAGGGTTATTGACAATGTATCATTTTCCTAAACTACTCATCCTAACATAAACCGAACGCCTTTCCTCATTTAGTTTGGAGATCTTATCCTTAGGGGGTGTTTGGTTCAATTTCTAGAAATTATAGGAAATATTTTCCACCTAAAATATGATTTCCTTGTATTTCCTAAAAAAAAATTATAGAAAAAGTTTTGAAAAATCAAAAAATACAAATTTTCTTGCTTTTTGTACTTTGCTTATTTGGTTCAAAACAAGAAAATAGCTCATACCTTTATAGAAAATAACAAGATTTGGTAGGTTTTTAATTAAATATGGTATGTGTCAGATTTCTAGAGATTTCCTCTCATTTTGAGAGGAAATTGTTTTTTGTAAAATTTGGTAGGTTTTGATATTTTATAGAAAATATTTCTGTAAATTTTTTGTTGAACCAAACACAATTTACAGAAATCTCTGGAAAACTTTTAATTACAAATTTGCCATTGTCAGATATTTTGAGAAAAATTTTCTCAAAAAGTGTGCAACCAAACGGCCCTTTAATAGAACGTGAGTTTTAAAATCTCATTAGAGATCGTAATAAATTAAGAAACCTTCATTTAGTCTGGAGATCTTATCCTACTGGAATAGAACGTGAGTTTTAAAATATCATTAGAGATCGTATTAAATCAAAAAGCCTCACTTAAAATTCCAAGCAAATCAGAAACTGTTGCTTTATCTAAAAGGTAAACATTAATAACATTGCTCGACTTTTAACCCACAAATTGTAAGTACATGTTTCAAACCCCTCAACAAATTTTACCAGTTTGAAACATTGAAAGCGGGTCACTTGGCAAAGTTTTATGCAGAACGACTCTGAAGCTTATACCTTGCGGCATTGACGACGATTACAAGCTTCGTAATATAAGCTCAAGATAGCAAAATCTACAAGAAAGACTCGAAGCTCATACCTTTTCCTGATGATGGTCTTAGTAGAACATTTACACAACAGTGACTCCTTGGCATACTAAAACCACTTTGCACGTATTAAGGGTATTAAACCCTCATTAAGGAGTGATTTAAGGGGTCGGTTATTACAGAGATATTTTGGAAGGGCTTCTTCTTGTCTCTTCCATGAATTACAAGTTTAGATGTTAAGAAACTCTGAAACTGAAATCAGAAAGATAGAAGTAAAGGAGACCTCTTTGAAGAAAATGGTAAGAAATGCAATTTAGTATCCCCCTGTCCTTGCTAAAAGTTTTCACTAAACCGCCAGGTGCCAAAAGACTCATTCTATCGTGAAAATTTAAGATAATGTCCTGACCAGGACTCTTCATCCATACAAAAACCTCTATAAATTAACGTTTGACATGCTTTAACCTACTTTTAACATTAACGTTGCTGTTAAACCCTAGTTATTTTTGTAGTGTTAAAGTACAATATATTACAGGAAATATCACTGGCATCTATGCTGAGCTCCTCATGATGCATACTACCGTATTAAGCTGTCCTTAGTGCATATCGAACATAGAATGTATTCATTAGTATTCTGTTATTCAGCCATATCCTGTTAGAGAAATATTGGCTTGCGATGTACGTGTGAGCTCTATATTTATATAATCCCTGCAATTAGCAAAGAGTACCTGCTCAACAAAATCCTGAACTTGCTCTTGCCACAAATCAATGGAATAAGCCAACTCATTCGCCCACGGCTGAGATTCATCTCCAAACCCCCACACCATCTCTCTTTCTACGGAACTGCTTCTCTGCATATTCAATGGAGTAGGATCTTCTGAAGGCAACGACATTCCTTGTCCTAAGAAATCCAAGGTCCAAACCTTATACTCACGGCCGAGATCTTTCAATTGCGTCTCATAATCAAAAGTCCCAACCCCAAAACCGGGAATAAATAGAACAATTGGTGCAACAACACTTTCGACCCCGGATTTTTCATAATGAACTGATAAATTTGGTTTCCATTCCCAAAAACCGCAATTACTTGGAGAACCATAACTACCATCAGATTCATTGGGCAAGCCTGGAATCCAGATCTTTGATACCTCGTCAGATTTCCGTGGGATAGTTCGTAGCCCCGCACTTCCATTAGTCGCATGGTAATGGCCATTATCTGCTGCAGCATTAGGAGCAGATAAGTTTCGGATTTCTTGGAGAAAACCCAGTAATTTAAGGCCTTCTTTCTGATAGAGATTTTTGGTTGTATCACTGTTTTGATTGGATATTCGTAAAGAGCAAGAGAGTTTTGTCCCAGAAAATAAAATTCCAGATCTTCTCTGGATAAAGAGATTAGAATTTTTAATGCCTGATCTGCTACCCACAAACTTCCAAGTTAGACTACTGAAAGAAGGGATCGAGGAATTACTTGAGAGCGATTCCATGGCATACAACTTATTATAACTGGATGTATTATACATTTCTATCATCAATCTTACACAGCTTATTTTGATAGACCTTTGGCAAAAGCCTAGAATCCACACGTAATGAACTGCATTCAACCACACACAGGCTCACATAACTTGAATAATGATGTTTTTTTCCCACACACATGACAAAGAGATGTCCTTGACAGACTTGATGATTAGTTGAGTTGAGTTCTGTTATTTTAACAGGTTGTGATTTCGGTTGTGATTTCTTGGCTAAATTAGATCGAATTTCAATTCGGACATTCATTTCAATTTAGACATTCCCCAGTTCTTTTATTCTCTTTTATTCTCAGTATAGCTTCTTTTTATGGACAAACTTAATTATTTATACTTTGTAGTATACTATGTGATGCTTGATACTTTACGTGTTTGAGCCAATTATTTTACCGTTATGTCACGAAATTATGTGCATCTTCTTTAAATTATAGTAAGTTAATTGACGTTCCTAAAGTTGTTTGTTTTAATGTTGCTCCTAAAGTTTTCTTGTTTGTTTATAGTAATTTATATTGGATTTGAGGTGAAAATTTTAGCTTGCGCTTGAAATGGATGTGACTTTATCTTTACTTGGTTTGAGTTAGTTTTAGGAGACTTGAAGTTTGTTATTTTCGACTCATGTTCTTTCTCTTTTGTCACAGCCCTCTTATTATACCAAAACCGCAACATCATTCATTTACAATTTCTATACAGTTACCTCGGTTGGAAATGTAATGCTATATTCTTCTTTTTAATTCATCTCATGCCTTAACCTATTTAGCTGTTCGCGTAGTTTAGTGTTAGTGTTTTTTAATCAATGATTGACTTCTTGAGCTATAAAGAAAATCTTTTTATTGTTTCATTCAGTGATATTTTATCGACTTCACCTTTTACATGCATTAGATTAGATTAGATTAGATAATGTTTGTTGGGATTGAATATTCTTCCTTGTAAGTTTCATACCATTTTTTGTATCTTCAACTTCTGTGCTGAGAGTAGATACCATCAAAAAGTTTTGTCGGTATTCTAGAAAGCTGCTTAGTTGCTTTTTATGTATTCTTTCGGAAAGTTCGTTACGTGTAGAAGAAAAAGCATATGAAACTTGTGTTTTGGAAGGTAGTACAATAACACTGAATAGACATGAATGCCAGTTGACTTGTAAGGATACATTCAGATTTAGTTTGTTGCTCAAGGAAAATCGATTTAGGTCAAGCCATCGAAAAATCCAGTTCATTATGTGTTTCGTGTTTTCTTATTTATTCAATACAATGTAACATACATATTTAGACTGCTGGTGATCCAAACTTCCCCAGTCATTTCCAGTCAAGCTGCATTATTTCTTCAAGATAGACATGACTCATTTGAGTTTTTTTAGTTCTTTAGACTGTTAACTTTATTGCTACTTGTTTAAGTCTAAGAGAATATGAATACGAAGCTTTGTTCTGTCCTGCAGAGTACACAAGTCTCTGGCGGAGCAAAAGACCACGAACTTCAGATTATCGGATCTTAAATGTAAGGTTTCTCATCATTCGAGCTCCTAATTATCATTTAGTCACATGTAGTATCTCCAATCTAATAATTTCCTAAAATTCTATAGAACTTCTTAGTTTGACGTCTTAATTCCTAAAAAACTTGTTAAGAACAATATTTCAGTTCTATAGAACTTCTTACAAGGTTTGAAGCCTGTTAACTTTATTGCTACTTGTTTAAGTCTAAGAGAATATGAATACGAAGCTTTGTTCTGTCCTGCAGAGTACACAAGTCTCTGGCGGAGCAAAAGACCACGAACTTCAGATTATCGGATCTTAAATGTAAGGTTTCTCATCATTCGAGCTCCTAATTATCATTTAGTCACATGCAGTATCTCCAATCTAATAATTTCCTTAACTTCTATAGAACTTCTTAGTTTGACGTCTTAATTCCTAAAAAAACTTGTTAAGAACAATATTTCAGTTCTATAGAACTTCTACAAGGTTTGAAGCTTGTTCCTCTAGCCTCTAGCTCTTCTCAACGCTTGATTGCTTGAATAAATTTACTGTTAGAAAAAGGAAAAAGAAAGAAAGAAAGAAAGGATGAGTCTCTTATAGTTGGTTTCTATGCTCTTTATTTTTCACATGTATATGGTTAATCATATGTTCACGGAGCACAAATATAGAGAGTTAATTGCAAAATTACCCCTTGTAGTTTCACCTAATTGCAAGGAGACCCCTGTAGTTCTATTTGTTACAAACAGAACCACTATAGTTCTACTTGATGCAAATAGACCTCTAAGTGAAATTCTTTCTACTCTTAAATCGTTAAGAATGTTTGAGGAAGTCTACAGTTTATTGGTGAGAATCACACTTGCATTTTTTTCACTTTTGAAAGAATCAAAAATGTTCACTTAGGCGGTGTATTCGCACTTCGGCCAATACTTCAAGGGTCTATTCACAACATGTTTTCTATAACTGTACATGAAATGGACAAAACCAATTTTTGGTGCAATGGTTTGGTTATCTCGCCATATTTTCATTATGTTGAAACTCCCAGGAAGATATGCATCTATTGAAATTGCAAGCTATATTAAAGTTTGCTCATTAGGTAATAATTTATTTCCAAAAACTATATATATATATGGAGCATCTTCATGTCTGATTTTTTTTCTGGACATGCTGACAGTATTGAAAACCTCAGAGGCTTATGAACATTTTTTTGTAAAACCTTTATTTGTTTGTGGCGACAATCTGCATTCTTATAAACAAATATTATATGTATATAGTGTGTAATGTCTTTAATTTGGGTCATTTCATTTCAAAGATCATATGTCTTCCAGTATGGATATTGTCCACAGCATGAAGTGCTTGAGAAAATCATTGCCAAGTCTAAAGGTAAACAAAACACCAAACCGGTTGCCTAAAGTTAGACCAAAAAGCAGTTTTTGATATGAATGCCAATAAAGCTCCTGGCCCTGATGGTTTTTCTATGGCTTTTTACCAGACTTTTTGGGATGTTATCAAATATGATTTGATAAATTTAATGACTTCACTCCAACTCAATCCATCTAGCTTATGTAGGGTGAACAAAGTCTTCATCACCCTTATACCAAAAATCAAAGACAGTGTTCTTGTGAAGGATTTTAGACCAATCAGTCTCATAAACTGCATTTTCAAAATTTTTTCTAAAGTGATTGCTAACAGATTGGCTTCTTTTCTTCCTGATTTAGTTTCTCCAACTCAATCTTCTTTTCAGTCTGGGAAGTCAACTCTTGATTCTATTGTCATGGCTAATGAAATGATCCATTTTTGTTCTAAGAGGAAGAAGGAAGTTGCTATGCTCAAGCTTGATTTCACTAAAGCTTTTGATTCCATCAACTAGAATTTTCTAATTAGTTTGCTCAAAGCTAGAGGATTTGGAATTAAATGGTGCTCATGGATCTACCATATTATATCTTCTTCTCAGTGTTCTATTAAAATAAATGGCTCACCTTCTAAATTCTTTTCATGCAAAAGGGGTCTTAAGCAAGGAGATCCTTTATCTCCAATGCTTTTCAATATAGCAGTAGATGTTTTACACAAGATGATTCATAACAATGTTGAAGATGGTATTTTATCAAATCTTGGAATTAAGCAACCCCTCAATCAGTTGAGAATCCTCCAATTTGCGGATGATACACTCCTATTTGTTAGGAGTTCTTCAAAGGACATTTCTATTCTGAAATTAATTCTTTATTTTTTGAGGAGGTTTCAGGTTTGGCCATTAATTATTCCAAATCTTCCCTTGTCTACTTTGGTAGAACAGCTATGAAAAAGCACATTTTATCCAATTCTCTTGGTTGCAAAGCAGACTCTCTTCCAATTAAGTATCTAGGTATGCCTCTGAAATATGGAAAGTTGAATAAATCTGATTGGCAACCTATCTTTGATAACCTTCATAAGAAGCTTGCATCTTGGAAGAGAAATTTTTTATCATATGGAGGGAAATTAGTCCTTTTAAACTCAGTTCTCACTTCTATTCCTCTATACTTCATGTCTTTCTTCAGATTTCCAAAATGGGTCATCAAAAATATTGACAAAATTAGGAAGGGTTTCCTATGGACAGGAGCTGATAAAGTTAGTGGCTTCAAATGCCTAGTTAGCTAGAAAAGAGTTTGTTTAAGCAAATCAGAGGGTGGTTTAGGTGTTAAGGACATTCGTGTCTTTAATTATGCTTTTCTATCAAAATGGTTTTGGAAATGTCTAGATCAACATTCATTCACTGGAGGTTTTCTTCGTCAATTATATTGCAACAGAGGTCCATCTATTCAAATGAATCAACCATCATCATCATTTTCTCCCTTCTGGAATGCAATATTATCTCTTAAAGATGAATTTCTCAATAATGTTTCATGGACTCTTGGTGCAGGCAATAAGATTCGCTTTTGGGAAGATAAGTGGACAGGTTCAAACACTCTGGCTAGCCTCTTCCCTTCTTTATATAAATTAGCTTTCTCCTCAAATGTTCCTATTTCCAGCCAAGCTTTTCTGATAGACTCTATGTGGCATTGGAGACCTCTTTTACGGAGATGCATTTCTCTTTGTTCTCAATCTGACAAATCAGATCTCTTGAATTTATTGAAAACTTATCATATTAGTTATCAACATGATAATCTTGTATGGTTGCTTTCCAAATCAGGTATCTTCACAGTGAAATCCTTTTATCAGTTCCTTATTCAGAGAGGCTCATTATCACCCTTTTTCAAAGTTATCTGGAAGAATTCAATTCCATCCAAAATCAATTTTTTTATATGGCTTTTGTGCAATAATAAGCTTCATACAAAGGATAACCTCATGCTCAAAGGCTGGACAGGAGATCCAGGGTGTGTTTTTTGTGGTTTTCAG